CCCCCAAATCTTTCTCAATTATAGGCTTATAGCAGAATGTAAGATTTATCAATTAAAATAACTGAAAATCAATCAATATTTTGCACTTACGCAACTGGGAAAATCGTAATCAATCTCCAAAATAGGAGTCAAATCAGATTATTGAATCAAGTGAAACACTTCCATATGATGGGGAAAGAAACAATGCATCATTCAAACTATACATCAACTAGGCATCCTATATAACTATTCTGCTCTATTCGGTCCATTTAATTCCTATAATGGTAAATAATTTGCTTCAAAAAAAAATAAATTGAGAAGGAAAGGAGAAAAAAGGGCATACATTTTGGACGAAGAGAAGATTGGCAACGACGATTGTACCGACGATAGCGCCCAGCATAGCAGGCGGCCCAGTTAACAAACTCCATTTTCTGTAAATCATCTTCGATTCTTCTGCTTTTTCCTTTTCTTCGTCGCTCCGAATGTCTGTCTCGAAAATCGTAATCGAGAAGAGAGCATTTTAAGAACTACGGGATGTTGCTGGACTTGCCAGGCCCAATACTTTGATCCAGCAAAAGCAGGCCAGGCCCAGTGCATGCATTTGCTAAGGAATTTGGAAGAAAATTTTTCATAAAGCACTATATTTTAGAGCCTAATAACTATAGTTTACCTAATTACTATTTGTAGCTACTGTTCAATTATTACTAGTTTGTATCACTTGTATTCACACGCGCAACGAATACAATCGTTTTGTATTCGTTCGTGCAATTGTATTCATTTGCCCAATGAATATGACATGTGTTAACTGTAACCAAGGAAAAATATAAGGATGTATAGTAAGGATACAACTTGTGTCGACTGTATACATAGGTGTATACAAAGGATATATCGACTTTATTTGTTCGAATGCAAGTAAGGCGAAATACAAAAATATAGAAAAATATAATGCTCTTGTTGAAAGTCGAAGTCAAGGCCTCCACTAACTAAGCGCGCCCGCTAACCAAATGAGCTACAAAAGTTTGTTCCTCTCTTGTTTCAATTCAAAATAATTTTTCTCGTGTTTTATAGATTTGTTATAAAATTCAAATATAGCTATGAATGATAAATTTGTTGAAAGTATAGCTATGAATGATAAATAGAGTATAAATGTTTGTTGTATCGCATAATTTTCCCATGGAAATACCAATTACAAGTTAGGGCCAAGAGAAACCCTTAAGGCTCATCTGGTTGATCAAGAGGTTATGCAGTGATCATAAAGAAGAAACTAGTCCATGCAGTGTCACGATCCAAAACCAACCCGGTCATAGTGAAGCCTAACGTGGTACTAGGCAAGCCAACACATTACCAAAAAAGCAATCAATATTTTCATTCTTAAGATAAAATTCAAAGCTATTTAACAATAAACCTTCATAAAGTGTTTAAATCAAAACAATAGTGCGGAAAGAAAGCTCGACATCGGAGTGTCACTAGTCATGAGCATCTATCAAGGACTGTCTGAATCTCGATATTATCCTTCCAGCATGTTGAAATCGAATCCGATAGTATTCATCCTAGGTCCAATGACTCATCTCATCCAACCCAACTACTTTAATGACATGACACATCAACACCATCTAAAGCCATAACCCGTGCAATCCGTACACCAGTAAGCAACAATCCAATTGTACTCAAATCATGAAAACTAACTCAAATGAGAGAGCTGTATCGCAAGCTCACCGGTACCACCACAACACGATGTTAAGAACTTATCACATATCGTAGAACCAAAATACACGAATCTAACCCGAAGGATCATACTTCCATATAACTTCGCTTCAATGCGCGACCTTATCCAAACACCCGCCCACATGAAACACCTCAAGTCACCATGCTCAAAATCAACAACCACTCGCAATTTGATGTCTAGTACCAAAAGTGAATCACCATAACCACGGAGAAGCAAATGACGCAATGCCATACCAGCCCAAAAGGACATATCCAATGCACAGTCAATCATGCAACAGCCAAATACCCGTCTCACTCAAATTCCGCTATAAAGCCCAAATAGAACCATATGCTTTGTGCATAAAATCAACGAATCACAATCCCGCATAGCTTACAAGAGTAACTCACAACAAATCTCGGCACACGAATAAGCTTATCAACAACCGAATGACACCTTCCTCAACAATAGTTGTTCGAAGTCAACAAATCCTACACGGTGCAGAACACGCATCCATATTGGCCTACTAATGAATCCAAATCAACTTTTGTCACCCACAATAGATAATTAACACTCCGAAAGTTCACAATGACTGAATCACAACACATACTAACCTCTAGCCAACCTTGGCTACATTTTTACAGTTCACAACCACAAAACAATCTACTCACAAGAAATCTCAGTCTCCAAATCCATAGAACACACGAATCACCATTTTTGATCTCGACTTCACTGCCTGAATGTTCACACTTCGCCAGTTACACGGTCATCCCACGAGGAATACTTTTAAAATTCTTCTGTGCCACAAGACAAAATTTGAACTCCAGCAATCGATCAAACAAGAGAGTGCCGCAATACCAATGAAGTATCCATAACTCAAACGCGTCGCCCCTTTCTGAATGTATACTCTCATCCCACCATACTAATTAGTAATATCATTTACCTAGTCATTTAAACTATCCATGCTGCATAAGAAATTATGACCTTCCTTTCAGAACTGAACCGTGACACATGCAAATCTCAATCCTATAGAACATACCGCACATACTATGCCATCCTATGTTAAATGTGAGAACTTCATAATCCACTCCGAGCCACAAGCAACTAGGCACACAACTAGCCAAGACCATTCCATTTGATCCCATATAGGTGAAAATTACTACACCTCACATGCTCCTCACACCACTAGGAAATATACATCTCGAACCGCGGTAGACATCATCAAGAATTCTGCGAATCCCATTTGCACAAAGCCAGACTGTTAGGACTGAGTCCTTCTAACTCAACCAAGTTGCGCAGCTCACCAAAAACCTAAGAGTCTTGCCACAAAACACTTGTAGGAACTCATTACCTCATAAGCACCCAAAGAACCAATCATATCCCTTACCATACCGATCTTCCCTAATACCAAATTGTTCTATTTATCCAAGTTCCTTTTGAATTACCTTCAAATTGATACTTCTCCTCGCCATGATACCACAATCCTCAACCTAGACTCACCACACGAAACTCAAGCCTAAAACCACACCGCCCTAAGGCTCATAAGCCATTGAATACTCTCGTAAATATCCCCAAAATACCATATTCAAAATACTTACCCTGAAAAGACTTTCTGCGAACCTAAAGCAATGACCTTCACCTTCATGATACTGATATGTAGAATCCATGCAGATATAAAAATGCCACAAGTCTTGACACCCTCCAATGTAAACCTCAGTTTCTAACCAAATACATATTCTAAAGATCCCCAATTGTTACATATAAATCTTGAATCCATTAGAACCATTCTCGGGAATCATCCACTCTACTCAAATCTCAATTAGACTGATCAAATGATCCAAACGATATGTGCTCTATTAGCACTCCAATACCCTAGGAAGCAACCCCACCTTAATGCAACCAAATAAATTCATGCTCCATGCACATTACATTTTTCACCAATAGCAACTCAAGTCATTCCGTGATTGTCATACACCCATAAAGAATAACACAACCCTTATTCAAAAATTTTCCTTTACTCGAGTCATCCTCGATCTCAACCCTTGTAAGTCACAACGATTCACCAGTGTACCTCAAACTGAAACCAATACAACACATAACCGTGCAATCAACTGATCAATAGCGGACTCTCCCACTTGGCTCAGAGCCATAGATCAAAACACTCAATAACTCGCGATGCCCATACTCTAGTACTGTCATAATGACATGGTAAGATTCAGCTAAATCCTTCATAAGATCATGCAACACAACCCATCTAATACCTCAAATCATTTGCAAATCTCGCATTCACCCTCGTAACAGTGAGGCTGGAGGGTACTTCATCTCCCGGGGCTCCAACACGTGTTGGGGAAGCTGAAACTAGGGGTACTGGAGACTCACTGCGTGCATCTAAGGAAAATCTATCCCTCTGACCTGGTGGGGAATGACTGGTACCTTCCCCCGGATCCATACCTATCTCTCGATGTGCCATCTCCTGAGCGTAGGTAGCCTGTTAGATAAGAAACACAAAGCACGATTTAGATTTCATATGTTCTTATAACTTCGCTCTATAGCACGATTTCTTTTCCTAAATGCCTCATAGCCTCCTGATTATAAGTGTGGTGCACAACACACCCATAAGAAAGACTCTACTAGACACGACTTGTGGACTCCCTAGGATACGATCTGCTCTGATACCAAGTTTGTCACGCCCCAAACTAGGGGAGGCACGACTGGCACTCGATACTGTATTCGATCGAGTTAACCACTAAACATACTAGCTAACTAAACTGGGGGCCCAACAGATCGGGCAGCACAACATCTGAAATACTAAGCCTAGACCATTAAGGTCATGACCTGAAAAACAATAAGCCATATAAACAAAGGTAGACGAGCCAAAATAATAAAGTACTAGCTGGCCGACGAGGCCGCGATTGGAGACATACATGCCTACACACATATATATACATGCCAAGCCTATGGGTTGGAAACTGAAAGCTACGAAAAGAAACTCAGAATATTGTGTCCACAATAGCCTCTAAGAGTGTCATAAGCACTGTCGAGACAAGGCCTTGACTATACCCAAACTGTATAACAAAAGTAACCATTCTATGAAAGCTCTAGGAAGAGGTGGAGCTTACCAACTCACAGCTGAATCCCGAAATCCTAGCGGAGGGTCGATCAGAGTCCCTACCTTGACCTGCACGCACGAAACAAAAATGCAGTGTCCCCAGGAAACGGGACATCAGTATGAATAAAAATGTACTGGTATGTAAGGCAGACAGTAGAATCATACATAGCTGATGAAAAAAAAAGTAATGGAGATACCACCTGACACTGAAACTTTGATAGCCTTCATGGCTGACATCCGACTTCATAGTAATCAAATATGCATGGTATGCTCGTGTAATCGTATGTCGTGAATACATATATATTGATGCAAATGCATGACATACCCAACCAAATGCTAGAAATGGCGGTCTCTTCCGGTAGCTAACCGGTATCATATTGCCAACCTGTGGCCATCTGTACAATATATATAGT